ATATTTGAAACATGCTTTTCAAATTCATTTTTTGCAAAATAGCCAGTGATAGCAGCATATATTTTTGCAGCTAATTGTCGTACATCTTGCTTAGTGGAAGTGAGCAAGGAACGCAGCCATGGCAACTCTTTCTCATAGGATTTTACTATATAATGTGGAATAGAACCAAGTACCTCCAATAATGCATTTAAGGAAATTTGATCTATAACATAGTAACAAAATAATCACACACTTAATTTGGAATTTTGTGTATAATGTGTTATATGTTTTAAGTACAATGTATTATATGTTTTGTGTGTAATTATAATTGTGTGTATGATATGTTTAATTATTTTTCACCTGCAGAAGAATGACTTAGAAGCAAAATCATATTGAGATAATGATTTAATATTTCTGGTTGATCCTTGTACAATTTCTCCAAGTAACGTCCAATCAGTGGAGTATGTTCGGAAGGATGTTGCAGTGGTTCATTTCGCGCGGGAATATTAGCACTTCTGGCGAGGCAAACGCGAAAGTAAGTAATAATCTATAAAAAAAATATAAATCTCATTAATAGAAAAATATTCACCTATTTATGGATATAGTAATTCTATTTGAAAACTTACTTCAGAAAATGTGGTAACACTATATGGGAGCACTTGCTTGTCCATATTTCTGCCACTATTCGCAGGTATTCTCGATTGCATTTTCGAGTAAACGTAACTTACTAATTTCACAAATTCAGGCAACAATATTTTATTGTTGATCTGTTGATCGTCTTCATTTTTATGCACAACGCCGTACAACGCTTTCATAGCTTCTGTACTTATCTCGTGTTTGTTGTCACCACAAGCTAGCAACAAGAGGTACCGAGACGGAGCGTCATCAGGCGGAAACACAGTTGCGGCGTAATGCATTGCCACAAATCTGTTTGCAAAAGTAACATAATTACAAACATATAATTAGACTACATACTGAAATTAATATAATGTAAGTAGAATCTGTGATAGTCTGCATTCAATACATGCCTTACGCTGGATTCTGGAGATTCAATGTGAACTGATAATAGAGCGTTCATTAAAGCTATATTGCTTTCATCCTCTTTGTTCAGTATGAATGCAGATGTTACGCAAATTAACGCGTCCCTTACTGTCCGCCGTAACTCGCCATCCGTCTTGAATATTAACAATATATTCACATGTAATGTTTATTTCGACAATTTGTTACTGTGTAATCTGTATAAAATCGAATACTTACAGATACAAGCGTGTCAAACAAATTGTGTAATAGACTCAAATCTTTGTTTATTAAAGACGGTATTCTTTGACCAAGTTGTCCAATAACTGTATATGCCATTGATTTATGTCCATCCTCACCCTCGGAGATCAATTTTATCATGCCATTCAAAATCACTCCAGCAACACGAGCTAACGGTACAAGACTGCAGCTTAAAAATTTAAAAACAAACAATTTATTATATAGACAAGCTGTATCTATAATGTAATGCAATGTAAATAATGTACAACACTATTAATAATACATTGCATGTTGCGCAAATAGATATAATCCATCTGGTTTCCAGCAAAATAATTCAAAGAATAAAATTAAGAATCTAAAATCTACCAATTTCTCCTACAGTAAATAGTGAGGCAATGGAATAAAGAAAAATATATTAAAAAATAAATTGTAAAACTTACTGTTGAACGATATTTGATGTAAATTGCAATGCCAATGATTTCAATTTTGCATTTGTATTTTTTCCATAAAGTGAGTCAAAAACAACCTGAAAAAAACAAAAAATTGTTATTTTATATTACGTAACATAGTAAAATATATATTTTTCACACACAATTAAATTTTACCTGTATGCATGGTGGTATAATGAAACCTGCCTTAGTTACACGACAAAGATACTGTAAAAGCTTGAGACGAATTCGAGTGCTCGCAGCGTGTCGTTTCATCTCGGGCTTTACCTCCTTTTGTGTAGCTAATGCATCAGTACCCAAAAATAATGTATATAGTGGAGCTGCTAACTGCATCGAAGACCAATCCAATGTGCTAAAAAAACAATCATGCTACAAATTACAAATCTTTAATCTATGATAAGATCAAAGTTGATAAATGTATTTTGACAGTTTTCATATACACACCCGACAATCTTTTTTAATTCTAGATCCGCCATATTTGCAATGCTGAATCTAGTATCTGCTGCTGCTACAATCAAGTGTATCAGAATATCCGCATCTGGGAAAAATCCACCAGCAAGGAATTTAACAATGCCCAACTTTATTTGTTCCAGCTGTTCTGCAGTTGGTGGATTTTCACCTATCACTCTTTTGAATGCATAATCACTTAAACCTGGTGGCACAGTAAACTGAGACAAATCGATAGTTTGACCCGACTGTTGATTTTCAGTTTGTCCCACAGATCTAACAATATGTCATACATACACACACAATTAGTAAGTATATAAATAATTATTTAAAAATAATACAACAAATATATCTTACCCATATGGTAACAGTAATACATCAAGCATAAAGTTTATAAGTTGCTTGGCGACATAAGGTTTATCCTGTAAGCCTAAAAGAGATGCTCGTTTATCGATATCCGTTGGTATATTAATATGTCCCAATGCTGGCATTATGATCAGCATTAAACTGTAACATCACCACATATACTATAACATATTGATATATGTACCATTTAATTTAAAAATTAAATTAATTTAATTTAAAATTAAATAATCATTTAATTTAAAATACTATAAATTTTAATGAATAATTCGATGTACATAAATAATAAGCACAATATAACATTTATCAAGATTCCTCTATCAAAATAAGTGTAATTTATAGTTAAGAAAATTCTTCTAATAAGCATACCTATCTTGATGGGACAATGGTTTTCCTTCGATAGCATTTAAAACGCTTGGAACTAATTCTGCTTGTTTGTTCATTTCCATTCGAGGATATCCTAACTTTATATATATTATTGTAAAGTTCTGCAATTATACAAATATACATTATGTATTCTTTTTTTTTTTTCCAATCCTGTAGAGTATAACAATCACATATCCAACATACAATCACAAATGAACTAGCAGCTGGATCTTGGTATTGCAGGAGTAGTGCCTCAACAGGCAGCTGTACTTGAGGCCTGCTCTTTATTCTCTTGTTTATATGAATCAACAATTCCATCACCTTTTTTCTAACGCCTTCCTGTCCGCTAGATAACTTGAGCAATACAGGAGGCAAAAATTTACAGACCGATGCCTGTAACTGCTCATCTGTTTCTGCGGAACCCAAGCGAAGAAATACCCGCTCAAGCAAAGCTAAATAAAACAACGCAAGAATTAATTAGTATATTAGTATTGTAAAAAATAAATAATAATAGTAACATTAAGATTTTCAGTTATGCAATATGTGTGTTGTCAATTTTTTTTCTATATAATTATAAAGAGAGAGAGAGATGTAAAAAGAAATATATATGCACATAAAATTTATCGATCCGCATTATTATTTCAACAATGCAATCAAGTGTCATCGAAATATGTAAAGTTACACATCACGAAAAACGCTCATATCACACGAGCTATTGAATTGGAATAAATCGGACGTCGACGTGGATATCGAGATTTGACAGCTGTAAGCACGTGGTGAAAACTTACGGGGGGAGAGAGAAAGAAATATCGGGTAAGATAATTATTCGCCCGCGATTTTTCCCCAAAAAAGATATGTTTGTAGAGAAGTTTTTTCACAGCATGACAATCGAGTTTGTCCCTCGAGCATCGTAAAGTGCTCGGGGGACGAACATCCGGTCTCGCAGCCGTCGACGTCCATGCCGGGTTCGACGGCTGACGCGACGTGTAATTTACGATCCGATCGTAAAAAAATCGCGACGACGTTTCGCGATGATAATCGAATATCTTTGCCCGAGGAATACTTACTCAGCTCGTCCGTAGCTGCCATTTTGAAAAGGACTGTAAAGAGACAGCGAAAGCGCTGTTCGAATGACAAGAATAATTGTCCGTGATATCACGCTTAATTAGCGGCCTAGCCGCTAGATTAAAAATTCCACCGTTTAAATCGTCAAACGCGCCTTTTAATCGTCGACGTAATTATGCGTGTCGATCGTCGATGTAACAACGATGCACTTTACATACGTATCGCAACCCTCGTCGCGACTCGAACGTCGTTTTACGTGAGGGCGCTAAATTTCAGTCCGATTGAGGTTAGGAAGGAAGTGTTGACACGCGATGTACAATTGGGATTTTTATAATAAAATGCGAAGGAGAAACTCCAGCTTTTAATAAAGAACGTTAAAGATGTATGAAATCGTTGGAATCATGACGTTTCCGATAAATGACATTTATTATTGTTTAGATATGAACTCTTCGGGAAGGACACAATTTTCGGTTGGTTTTACTAAAATGTACGTATATTAATTCAAATGTATATATAAATGGACATTACTAAAAAATATTTTCGCCATGGATTACGATCGGATTTATTCGTGTCAGGAAAATACTGCGTTGAGGTTAGAATTTCTGTCGCCGATTGCGAAAGCGATAAGAAGCCGACGATTCATGCGCAGACTCACATGATGCGATTTACAAATTTCTTTTTTTTTTTTCTTTTTTTTTCAGGAAGCTTGATTGAAAAGAATAATACATCATCTCTGTGAATTTAAAAAGATTTATATATATATTAATTCCTTATCTCTATATTAATGGCTCTTTGTTTATTATTATTATTTTCGTCTTTTATACAGGGTGTTCCAGATCAGGTCAATTTTTATTTAATTACTCATCGGATTTATTTAGTTACTTTTTTCAAATGAATGAAGGATTTCGAAGTTATTTTTTAAAATCATCAAAAAAAAAAAAAAAACGTGATTTTTTTAAGTTTATTAAAACTATATAACTTTTCAACGAAGCGTTTCCGGATCTATGTTTATTGGAACTTTTTTGTTCCAAATTCAATTTCCTATAAGACCCTGAAGTTTCATAAACTAAATTACACCAATTTCATTTAATTCTGATAAAGCGTTCAAAAGAAAATAAGCTCAAAACAATGAAAAAAGCAGAAACTTGAAAAAAATCATCTTTCAATAGTCTTTGTGTAAACACTACATTCGTAGTGCAAATATTGCAAATGCAAACGTAAAATATTTTTATTACATTTTGATCATAATTATAATTATACTTACAGAGAGTTTATATTAGCTATAACTTTTTAACGAAGTGTTGCCGGATTTATGTTTATAGGAACTTTTCTGTTACAAATTCAATTTACTATAAGACCCTGAAGTTTCATTGACCTGACCTGGAACACCCTGTATAAAGATTGATAAATCTATCTACATATTTCCACGCGATAAGACTAATTTTGAACTTTCCCGCCAAGATTCGGATCTCTTTTGGTCGCGTTCAAAAATTTACTCGTCGAGGTAGAGTAGCTTTTGACTGACTAATCAGAACAAAAGATTTCTTTCTTTTAATTGGTCAATCAAACACTATTCCACTCGTCGAGTTAATTTTTGAACGCACCCATGAAATTTTCCTCGAACCAAAGTGTGTTTTTTCATCACAAAAATCTATAATAAAAATCAAAGAGAATCATATGTCATGTCAGTTATATTTAGAAGAATGCAATTTTCTTCGCGGGATCTCTTCTGTTGCATCACAATTAATCGCGCGTATCACACTGAACTTATATTTTAAAAGTGTGTTTTGTTAATTCGAAGTCCGCCGAGATTGCCCTCATATCTACCCGGCCATGCGTGTTTGTTGACCTTCACAGCACTGTCCTTAATAAAACAGAGGTCAACTTGTGTGCCAAGCTTTTCCTACCGATCTTTCGAATGAGAACGCATGTGTGCTACGCGATCGTTTTTACATTCTACCATCGATATTTTTATAGGTAGGAAATTTTCAAATAACTTACGCAATATATAATTCCTCAATAAATACGTTGGACATTTCGTTTCTCCCATGTATTAATATAATATTTATGTATTAATCAAATTTTAATTATAGTTATGACTGAAATTCGCTTAATGTGTCTTGCGAGAATGTTTGTCAGTTTGTCTTTTAATATCTGTATTTGTATTCGTGATATATGTTACTTATTTCACTGTGGGCACGAGTGATAATTTATATTTAATACGTTGATCATTTAATAGTCATTATTATTGTTACATTATGTATTTTATAATATTGTGTTTTTGTTTCTTATATATGTTTCTTTATAATACTACATTTATGTGAAATTATATAGCTTGTTGACATCTTTGTTATTACTTGTCTTAAATCATGATTAACTTCATCCTAGGTTTTTATCATATTAATTTAAGTATATTGCCTTTATCTATGAACTAATATGCGTGATACATAGAACAGTGATGTATGTTGCATAATTATGTTAATGTCTGTCTTTTACAAAGTATGTATCTGTCATTTATGTAAATTAAAATATATTAATAAAGATTATTAATCCATTACTATATATTTGTATATATATA